GCAGATGTGTCAGCCCATGACAAAAACCTCAGAGACAGGAAGCTTCTTCTGGAGCAGCTGAATGAGATGACCCAAACGGCAGCCAAAATGGAAAAGAGGGGAAGCAACAAAACATTTACAGACATCATGGAATACAACCCAGAAAAGAACAACTGGTACATCCCTGGACTCTGGCATGGTAACCCTCCCATGGCTCCGGTGAACGCAGGCTACAGTGAGTCTGTAAGCGAGTTCAAAAAAAGCCTCATTACTTCCTTCAATGAGTGCCGGACCCCAACACACACATTTGCTGAGTTCTTCAAGTGGGCTGAGAGTTTATGGAACGCAGTGAAGTACGAGAACTTCATCTTCAGCTTTCGCAACAGCCTTGTGGCTGATGCCTACTCTAAGCTTTGTATAGAGTTCAACAAGTGGGAGTGGGCTTATAGGAAGCACATGTACTCATGGCTGTCACAAGCTGAGACTAATGTGTCGAACTTTGGGGAAGTGGAGACTGGGACTTCACTCACTGCTGAGAATTTACTGAGCGAGCTGAAAACAGTGTTAGCTGATGAACTCAATAAGCAAGAGATTATCATTTTGGACAACATTTCTGAATATTATAAAAGAAAAGAAAACCATATTTATTTGGTGGAGAAGTACAGAGAGGATTTTGTGAACTCTGCCAAGACTCTGACAAGAGAGACACAGAATTCTGCGAAAAACAAAATAGAGGCAGTGATGGAAATCAAAAAGGGCATGCTCAAGTTGGACACTGTCAGAAAGAAGCACACAGACACCATGGAGCGGAAGGTTCTAGAGCTGGTTGACAGATGCAGGAAAATTAAAATTAGAATGTCATCTGAAGAATTTTCATTGGAATTTAAAATGATGTGGGAGGACACTGTGAAAGAACTTGATTTTACAGGCCTAAAGAAACGGGATATTAGACAAGATATTCAACGTCAATTATGGGCTAACTTGACTAGAGATGGAAGTCATGTGCGTGAAATACTGTCCAAGGTTTCCTTGAATAACTGTGGTGAAGAAGCTTTTACAGTACAAAATGATGATGGTTTGTTAAAGAAGGCCTACAAACGTGTTTTTGGGGATGAGCAGAAGCGGAAGGCACAAGATCTGGCAGATCGTATCATATGGAAGAGTCAGGAGTTTATTAATGAAAAAGTGAAAACAAGAACAGATTACCATGACACTTACGCCACACAGTTGTTGTGTTTGATAGATGACTTGCTGGAGAAGGAAAGGGATCTGCAATTGAGTGACAAATTTGAGGTCTCTGTGAAGATACACATCTGTGGGTTTGCAGCAAAGGAATTCCAAAAAATGCACGATTGTTTTATTGAAGTAAATGACCCTCGGCGATGCTTGAACGAGTTTAAGGACCAGTACTACTCTGATTTTAAGGACCTGTTTAATAAAACAGACCAGTGTCAGAAGAAGGCTGAAGAGTTTGCCACCTACTGTCTTGCTCCTGCGATCAAGGAATATGCTGCCAAGTTTGTTGGCCCAGATATTGTGGATGAAATGTTGACAGAAGAGAAATTGATTGACTGCAGAACCCGCTCCTTTTTCCAGTTCTCTGTCCTCAAAGACCTGCTTTTAAAAAATGATTTTAAACATTTCCTTCAGTACACTCAAGAGTATGAGAAGTTTGTGAAAGACTGGATTTCAGAGAAAATAGTGGAGTACTTCACAGACAATTATAACAAACTTTGTGACATAGTGGTTTGTCACCAAACCAAAATTATCAAGAAGATAAAACACACTGTTGAGGGTGAAACGTCTGCCAGAGGTGGAAAGAGTGGGAATATTTGCCAGTTCATTCAAGAAATCTGCACAAAACTTGAAAAGGAACTTGTCATTCCCAAAACTGCCCTGGATAAATTTATGGCTTTAAACAAGGCAGATCCTATGGATTTTTCTAGATGCCTTATATCCATCATGGAGGAAATGGAAAAAAAACCGAGAGCTGAGTTTGAACAGCAAAAGGATGTGAAATCAGTACTGACAGACCTACCCTTCAAGCCTGAGAATGAGTTGTTCAGTAGGGTGTTTGGCTGTGGAAAGCAGTGTCCCTTCTGCAAAACTCCCTGTGAGGCAGTAGGTAAGGATCATCCAGAGCACTTTGCATCCGTTCACCGACCCGATGGTATTGGACAGTACAGATGGAGAGATTCTAAAAAACTAACAACCGATGTGTGCTCTTCCTGCGTTGCTAGTGAAAAACAATTCAGCTGCTCAGCCACATCAGGTAATTATCATCCATACAAAGATTACCGGAAGTTTTTCCCTGACTGGCGCATTCAGCCTGACGCAATCACTGAGGCCTCAGACTACTGGAAGTATGTCTTTGCTACATTTAATGATCAGTTTGCCAAAGAATTTAATGCTAAAGCTGCTGATATCCCTGAAAGCTGGAAATTAATAGATAATGATAAAGCCTTGAAAAGCCTGGAAGAAGCATACAGGATGATAATCGAATAATCTGGTTAATGTTATTTGGGAAACATTGTTACTGTGACAAGTGATTTATAAAATGCATGGAAACAGTTATGTCATCATATGAAAGAAATAGGCCATCAGATTTCCCTTGTTATGTCAGTTGTACATCATCCTGCACTGCTGAATTTTTATCCAAATTTAATACTGTGTTGGTTTTAAATTTGAACATGTAAATATAATCGGTGGTTAATTGTAATGACAGTATAAGAAATTTTTGTATGTTAGCAGCTTAAACTTTACCAGCGTGGTGTGCGGCTCTGTGGTTTAAGACTCCATGATCAGAAGGTCACCGGTTCAAATCCCGTAGTTAGCAGGGTATTTAATCCCATCTGCTCAGGGGTGCCAGATAAATGGCTGAATCAGTGTTCTGACCCCAAACTTTGCTCTTGTTTGTCTGTGTGTCTCATTGGAGAATATGATGAAATATATAGACTGAAATTGACAATGACAGTAAAGGCATTCTGTTCTAATTGTTCTTGTTTCCATTTACCTTCTGTTTTCTTTCCATAAAAAATGTTTTTCAAGTACAAGAGCATAACAGTGATTGAATAGTCATATTAGGTTCTTGTTGTTTGAAACTGCACAGCTCTTGCTGTGATACTACTTAGACTTGTTATTGAGTATTCATTAGAAGCTCAGCCTTATACGTAGTTAATCCTTTAACTGTGTGCTTGTGATGCACTGCCTCACTTGTACGTCATTTTCTGACAAAAGCATCTGCTAAGTAAATGTATGTGAATGTATAACAGCAGTTTTTCTTTTGCATTAATAAAATAATACAAAAAATATATTAAGTTTGAAAATTGCATCTATGGATCCGTTAATCCTCTAAGTCACAGGTGTCAGACTCCAGTCCTGGGGGGCCGGAGCCCTGCACATTTTTGGGTTTCCCCTCATTTAACACACCTGATTCAACTTCTTGTGCTAATTACCAGGTGTTGAGCTGAATCATTTGTGGTGGAACAGGGAAGAACTAAGCTACACAGGGCTGCGGCCCCCCAGGACTGCAGTTTGAGACCCCTGGTCTAAGTGCTAATCCAGCAGAGGGTCACAGGGGCCTGGAGCCTCTCCCAGGTAGCCCAGGGCTGGGGACACTGAACGGGATCCCGGCCCATCGCAGGACACACACATACACACTAGAGCTAATTCAGAAGCAGCAGTTCACCTAAACAAAGCTGTGCAGCACAGGGGGTCATGCAGACCCCACACACAACAACAACAACAAATTTATTTTTGTATAGCGCATTATCACAACATTACATTGTCCCAAAGCGCTTTACAGCATCCCCACCCAAAGCCCCCAGTGAGTAAGCCATAGGCGACAGTGGCAAGGAAAAACTCCCCAGAAGGAAGAAACCTTGGGAGGGACCAGACTCAAAGGGGGAGCCCATCCTCCAGGGGCCGGCAGGGAGAGTCAAATACAGTTAAGTCTGAAACACAAACGGGGAGCAGGGGGGAGATGACAAGCCGGTGCCACTGCTCCCTCCAATCGCCAGGCAGCCAGAAGGCAGGGAGCGGGTCATACAAGGAAGATGACACTGGCAGAACGGCGAGCTGGATGCACGGACGTCATTGGTAGTGGCGACGTCACATGTTGCAGGGTGTGCTGGACATCTTGATAGATTGAGGGCCCCAGGCAGCACCCCCCAGGAGAAGGTGGTGGAAATAAATGCAATTAGTCAAAGTAAGGGAGACTATAGGCAGTGCTAAAAGTTAGATGAGTAGGGGTGGGGGTTGGCTCCAAACCCCCATTGTATATAATTACAAAACATGCATATATGACTTAGCGCTTTAAATAAATACTTGGTTCTGATATGTATGTGATACAGAAGTTAATTCATATGGATAATATTCACAGTACTATGGTCTGCCTGTGTTGCTGAATGTGTGCATACGACTGAAAATGGAAAAATCTTGTGCGATTGCGTTTTCTGAAATAGGATTATAAGACAGTCCACAATATGAAATGTGTTACAGACATTGACAGTTACACATAGCCTATGAGGTGTGGTCATTTCGAAGCTGGGCATTATTAGACCAGACTGACCATATACGCACTTCTGTCATTAATTTGCAAGCTACATTAACCATTGTGTAAGGAAACACTGCACTCATTAAGATAATGCTCACTGCTAAAAGTGATTTATTTAACTAATGCACATAAACCCCACAAGATCAACAAAGGTAAAGTTACTAATCACTGGCTAGCAAAAAATAGTTAACTGAAAATAATACAATTAATAATACTGAAAACAGAAATGTTTTTTAACAATCTTATTGACAAAGTAATTCACTGCACAATACATAAGGTACGCACAACCCACATAAAGCTCTTCAGCTGGGATTTGTTCAAAATGAGCTTCTCCATTCAAGATATAATTCTTTCCTTGACAATAAAGCAATTATTAAGTTGTTTTACTGCAATCAACTGCCCCCAGCTAGAATTAGCATTGAGGCTAGCATAGACCGGCATGCATTTGTGTATTTCTGTGCATTTTTAACTGGCTGTCCATATTTTATCTGCATTTCTTGTATCTTTTTTATTGTTTATCTTATCATTTATTAAGTGACAATGTGGGATTTATAATATTGGGCTGAATGACATATTTCCGAAATTTCTTTTAAAAATTTTGTTAAGCAAAATATATAGCTAATCCATAGGATGACTTGTCCATTCATTTTCCGCTTGCTGTTTCCTGTCTGGGTTTCTTTAACTTCCTTCCTTGATTTTTTCCTTCTTCAGTTGATAATTTTTCAATAAGGATCAGTGAGACATCATTCGAACAAACTCTGAAAGATAAATGACAGGTGGATTATTTCAGTGTAATTCAACAGATGTGTGTGTGTGTGTGTGTGTGTGAGAGAGAGAGAGAGAGAGAGAAAGAGATCAGTGCTTTTTCTCTTATACATAGAAATACAGCTTACATTTTCGTTATTTTTCCTGGTAATTTTAAGATGAAACTTTTACGTTTCCTCATTAACATATACATACTTCACCTGACATGGAGAAATTATAGCGATTGGTTTGCAAGCAGGTACAGATGAGATGAACAAGGCTAATAACGATGACATCATAAGAGTCCCGGCGAACGCCTCACCCTGAAAGTCTATCTGTCCGTCACCGTTGAGGTCGGCGTCCTGCAGGATCTCCTCCAGCTCTGCAGGACTGAGTTGCTCCCCTAACAGCGACTTCATGGCCTCTTTGAGCTCCGCAGCGCTGATCTGCCCATCTCCATCTGCGTCGATCTGAGTTAAAGGGAATCAAGGGGACGTGTACTGAGGTTTAACAGAACTCAAAATGCCAAAGCTCTCTAATCTATGTCTATTTGCTGCCTAGTGTCCCACAAATACAATTTCTACCAAAAAAAGAAATTGTAATCTTGCATGTGATGTAGATAATCTTGTATGTAAATTGCACACACACACACACACACACACACACACACACACACACACACACAAACACACACTACCTTTCAAAAGCTTGGGACACTTAGGAATTTCCTTGTTTTCCGTGAAAACAAACATGAAATGAGTCTGAATAGGAAATATAGCTAAATAAATAGGAAATAGTCATTGATACAGTTAGAAATAATTGTTTTCGAAATTAAAATAATAATTGTGTTCTTCAAGCTTTGCTTTTGTGAAAGAATCCTCCATTTGCAGCAATTACAGCATTCTAGATGTTAGTTTGCTGAGGTAATCTGATGAAATTTCATCTGCAGTAAGATAATTGCAAAAGGGTTTTCTAATTATCAATTAACCTTTTAAAATGATAAACTTGCATTATGAAACACACCATTCCACTGGAACACAGGATTAATTGTTGCTGATAATGGGCCTCTGTAGATATTACTTAAAAAACAGCCATTTCCAGCTAAGATAGTCATCCACAGCATTAACAACGTCTATACAGTACTTCTAAGTATTTGCTTTTTAAGTATTTGACCCCAAACTTTTGAATGTGTATATATATATATATATATATACACACATACACACACACATAATATATCTGTCAAATTAAAGGTAGCATTATATGCTGTGAATTACAAATAGAAACCATCAAACCATCCATCCCTCTTCCATAACCGTTTATCCAGTACAGGATCACAGGAACATCGAAAGCCATGGATCAGCGACTCATAGTGGATGTTAAGGACCAACCTCTTGAAAAGCCTCTTTCATCTCTCTTATCCCGATCATGTGGGTAGTATCCTCCACCACCTTAGGGCCCATGAGATCCGAAAAGTCCTCAAAGTCGACTTTGCCGCTGCCTACAGAACAGGGGCAGCCAACAGTGACATAGAGTCTGCAGAGGAACCAACCAGTGATGAAATCATGACATGCAAAGAGGCACTCAGTCCACTCTCTGGCTGCCACACTTACGGAGGGTCTCGCTCAGCTCGATCAGCCTCATCTCTGTCGGCATGTAGCCCATGGTCCTCATGCATTCTCCCAGGCTCTCACATTTCACTATGCCTTTGTTCTTATACTCAAACTCTTTAAAGCCTTCCCTCAGCTCTGTGCAAAGGGAAGCGCAGAGAGAGCAAGAGGTAAACATTCGGAAACCAAACTGTGCACAATGTGTGAATATGCGCTGTGTGGTCTGCTGAGGCACGGAAAGGGAGTGAGCACCAAGTACACAGGTGGGGGCACTGTAAGGGGGGGGGGGGAGTCAGGACAATTCCAAGGGCCTCTGAGTGATAGGGACCCTAAAAGATTTGGAGCATAATTGGATTGGTCTAGGTTGGGGGCCCAATATGATAAAAGATTAAAAGATGACAAAGGGTCAAACAGAAGGAAACCCATGAAAAAGTTGTTGAATGTCGGGGGCTTAGGGGTCGGGGGCTGAGGGGCCGGGGGCTGA